GCCTCCCGAACTGAGACTGGGAGTTGGTTCCATAGGAGAGGAGCTTGATAGCTAAAGGCTCTGCCTCCCATTCTGCTTCTGTGGACTCCAGGAACCACAAGTAGACCTGCACTCTGAGAGCGAAGTGCTCTGTTAGGATGATAAGGCTCTACGAGGTCTTTAAGATAAGATGGAGCCTTGTCATTAAGGGCTTTGTATGTTAGGAGAAGGAATGACTGGGGATGTTGTATGATGATAATGAATGTGAGCTGCATGTTGTTTGACAATTGTTGAAAAGGTGTCTCTGACCATAGATGCAATGATAGCACTTACAATTGAATTGTGTGTGACAATCACCTGCCATTATGTAAGTAATTAGAAAATATAGTGTTATTCTTCAGACTAAAACAATGCTGGATCGGCATACTGCTGGTGAATGTACTTTCCACCACTGTGGAACCCTGGGGACTTGGAGGTAAAGTCACCAAATGCATACATGACAATGTTAGCAATATGGTGCTAGCCAACACAGAACAGCTGGACTGTGACTCTCAGCAATGTGTGTGTGCGCGCGCGTGCTCTTTGAATTAATAGTTCCCAGCAAATATAGAATAACATTTTGGCTTGAAATACCCATCCCTATTGGTTATCAATAGAATACATCATTTACTTAGTATCCATCCATTATCTATACTACTTATCCTGAAGAGGGTCGTTGGGGGACTGGAGCCAGTCCCAGCTGACATTGTACGAGAGGTGGGGTACACCCTGGACAGGCTGCCAGTCTATCACAGGGTGGATACTTAGAGGGTATGTAATGTTTCTTATAAGGACCATTTCCTTCCCTTGCGGCTTTTCCTTGTGTTTTAGTCCTGCCCACCAAAGATGCAAGGAAAACATGCAAAAATGTGAGGAGAGAGGACTCCAGGAAACACATTGACATGAAACATCCTTTCCTCAGATCCTTAAGAGAAGTGCCCTCTCACCATCTAATTTCAGATAAAGGGGTGTGTCAGTTCACAAAAAACTTGCATGTAGGATGCTCTTGTGTTTCCTTGCTCATGGCTTCTCAGGCACTGTCCAGAGCCAATATAAGAGAACTGGAACATCCTCAGTTAACTAGAACAGGAGGTCAACCAAGGACGTAGGAACGATCTTATAAGACACATGAGACCACACACATCCAGAATTTAGAGTCACCAATCAGCCTAAGTTGCATGTCTTTGGATTGTGGGAAGAAGCCCGAGTTCCTGGAGAGATCCCACGACCAGGACTTGAACCTGGAACTTTCTTGCTGTGAGGCAACAGTGTTACCCACTGTTCTACCACGCTGCCTCCCATTTACTCAGTATCACTTGGTTTATTTCTTTCAGAGACATCCTGTGAGCACAGTCTGGATGACCTCATTGAGTCCCTTGGGGTCAACGACACGTCAGCAGCGGACGTTTCTCTGGTGGACAAGCGAACCTGTGGAGTAGCGGAAGTCCATCGAAAACATTCAGGTGCTAAAAATGAAGCTGCAGCTGAAGGTGAAGACATGAAGGAGCTCATATCAGAGGAATCTGACAGGGAAGAGGAGTCAGAAGGAGAAGTATTGGGGGATAGAGCAGAAGAAGAGGAAGAAGGATTGGAGGACTCCGAGCTCATGCCTTCGCTAGAGGACTCTTATGAGCTGAACACTAAGGAGGCTGGAGCGGAGCAGCCTGCGTCCGGCCTCAGGCGACGCAACAGGCCAGAATGACCTGACTGCAGGACTTCTGCAGTATACAGAAGTGTGACAGTTTATTATCAATGTTTATTATCTGAAAGGCTTTACTTCCTAAATGCTGTCTATTTATTCATCAATATTGCATTAATAAGAAACAATAACCTCATATAAAGAACTCTAACAATAAACACACAGGGCTCTATTTTCTTGTCACAGTGGGTTAAGACCAGGTCATACACAAAGTCAGAGCAGCTATATACAAGTGCATGTTCTAGTTTTGTTCATCAGTGCAGAATGCTAGGTGCAAAAGGTTTGGTTGAAGTGAGTTTGGGTCAGCTGTGGCTCAGGAGGTAGAGCAGGTCATCCCACAGCAGTAGAGTCAGTGGTTTGATCCCTGGCTTCTCCAGTCCACAGGATGAGGAATGCTTGGGCAAGCTATTGAACCCCAAGTTGCCCCAGTGATAACACCAATGTGTGGTTGAGAGAGCAAGTGAACAAATGGGAAATAGATTAAGAGCATTATATAAGACCATTTACTGTTCACAGGAAAAACAAACAAGCTGTCTTTGTAAGGTGCTGTTCCGCCTTGAGCCCACAGAACAGTTTCTGTGTTTCTGGTCATGAATTCCTTAGCTCAACGCAGACTGCTTCAACAGCTATAGTTGCATTACATTTGTGTTTTTGATATCAAACTAAATGTTACTAAGGGATTTTAAAACTATAAGGCACTCTACCCCAGGGGTGCACAGAAACTTTGAAGGGGAGATAAGGGAGTGGAGGGATAGATGTGAGGCAAAGGTGCTATGTTGGATGAAATGAGCCAGGTTTCTAATAACAAAGTTATTTATTGTAGTCTGGCTTTTGATGTAGTGTTCTCATCAACAGTCAGTAGTTTGAGCTGCAGCAGCAGTGGCAATGACACATCTCATAGGTGGAATTATAAAACCTTAGATTGAAGCTCTTGTTCTTGGAGACTTTACTCAGTCAAATCTTAGCATGCAGACTAGATAGATACACTCCCTGACAAAAGTCTTGTCGCCTATCCAACTTGTAGGAACAACAAATAATAACTTAACTTCTAGTTGATCATTTGGAATCAGAAGTGGCTTATATGAAAGGCAAAGGCCTCTAGATTATGCTTATTTTACCAAAATAAAATCTTATTCCTTGGTTTTTATTTATTTAATTAGGACAGAAAGGTCAGACTTTGCTTAGACAAAAGTCTTGTCGCATAACAAAATAATGTACAGTACAGAACATAAAGTCATGGTGCCGTGGAAAAATTAATATTGTGTATGACTCTCATGAGCTTGGAGGACTGCATCCATATGTCTCGGCTATGACTCAAATAACTTATTATTGAAGTCATCTGGAATGGCAAAGAAAGTATTCTTGCAGGACTCCCAGAGTTCATCAAGATTCTTTGGTTTCATCTTCAATGCCTCCTCCATCTTATCCCAGACATGCTCA